CGTTTTGATTGTGCAAATGAACAAAATATCTTTGGATCCGATGATATTGAGGACTGAATATTAGAGAGGTACCTTTGATATTCTAAATCTGCCTGTTGTTTTATTAAAGTTCTAAGTCTTTTAAACTGTTCTAAATGGTAATAATAGTTTGTTTTTTTGTACTTACGGAAATGCTTGTCTCTTTGTTTAATATTATTTATTATTTCGCTAGTGTACCATTTTGGATAAGTCCTTATATAAAATTTAATTTGAGGTAAGTACTGGTCCAAAATATTATACACTTTAATGTAAAATGCATCAACAGCTAAATTAACATCTGAAATATTTTGTAAATAGTACCAATCTGTTTCTAATGGAGCATTATATAGGGCTGGATAAATAGCTTTCTTAAAGTTATAGGCTTTTTGATCATTAGCAGATCCAAGTTTGTACATTTTGGGGGAAGTTGTATTTTAATGAAAAGAGCTGGGTGAAAAATGTCCTCATGTACTAATGGCGCATTATCTCGAGAAACTTCACATTTTAGGTTTGAGAAAACAAAATCGAATAAACGACCTAAATTGTTAAATATTCCGTTATGTTGCTGTATACCAAAGAAGTTTGCAAAATTAGTAATTATATTGGTTTTCTTATCATTACTATTATTGTGAACATAGTGGGATATATTAAAATCTCCGAAAAGTATTTTTGTATCTGAAATAAAGTCTATTTGTTCCATTGCTTCAAAAAATAATTCATATTGTTCTAAGTTAATAGTAGGTGGTATATAAATAACAAAGATATAAATAGTTATAAATTGAAATTGATATTTACAACACAAAATGTCAATTGTAGGAAATGAAGTTGAAAAATATGGAAGTGCAATTTTTCTGACCTTAATTCATTTTTACATGCTAGAAGTACACCTGTTGTATACTCTGTGATCTATAATTTCCTGTCGCTTCTGTATACGTTGTACATTTCAGGGAAAAGTTCAGTATTTAACACTTCCTCCTGTATCCAAGTTTCAGTTATGGCTAAAGCTGCAAATCGTTTCTGTGTATCATGGTCGTAGAGTACAGATGTACTTATTGTCGCCAGCATTCACCTTGAGCGTGAAACTCTTTCTCCAGTCCAGTCTATTATTAGCTTTCGATTTGTGTACACGTGTCACTTGGGCGTATTGCATATTGTTTTTGTCTTTATTTTATTTGTTGTACTGTATTGTTGATATTAATTTAATAATAAATCATGGCAGACGTACCCAGGGGTAGAAAACGGCCATTTGCTGACAAAGTGAATAAATTCATAGGTGAATTCCCGGATTTATTCTATGATGGTGCTAAAATAGCGAGAAAGATTTTATGTGCTGGAATAAGCATGATTGTGGACTTCACGTAAATAGTGTACACCATAAATATTTAAAAAAAATGGCGTGCCTTCGACAACACAGTTTATGTTTGATTTACTATTAATGCTGATTGCCTGTGATGTTCCGCTGCACATACTCGATAAACAACCATTTCGAGAGTTCTGAAATAAACACAATGCCCAGGTGAAGTTACCAAGTCGCACAACGTTATGTAACTATCTACCAACTGTACACGTAGACATGGTAAATAAGATGAAATATGAATTAAAAAATACACGGCTGCGGTTATCTGTTGATGAGACAACAGATTGTAAAAAAAAAATCTATTTTAAATGTTATAGTATCCGAGTACTGGACCCTCTTAAACCGACAGTTCCACTGTTACTAGCTAGCAAAAGACTAAGTCAGTGTACTAGCGAAACAATTACCAGGGTGGTGCTGGAGACGTTAGAAAAATTTGAACTGTCAAAAAGTCAAGTATTGATATTTGTGACTGATGGCGCCGTGACAATGCGCTCAGTAGGTCATTCTTTGCAAGAACAAGGTTGTACGTTTATACATGTTACAAGTGCATGCTTTACATCTTGTGGCAGAAACTATTCGAAAAGGTTTTCCAGAGGTGAATGCATTAATAGCAAGTACAAAAAAAAGTGTTTCCTAAATCTCCCTAAACATCTCCGTGCATTTCATAGCAAGTGTCCCGGTATTCCTAAACCACCACAGCCGATTCATACACGTTGGGGAACATGGTTGCAGGCATACTACAATTTAATCCAGATGAGGCTGCAGCTATTAAGGAAAGCCCGACAAAATTCGAAGATATTTCCGTTGAAACAGTTTTAAAAAATATTGCGAAGAACTATAAACCATTACATGAAAGCATAAAAAAATTAGAAAACAGTGCGTTGTCGTTAGCGGAGTCACTGCAAATAGTGGACGAAGTAAATCTACTCCTACACGCTATAGGTGGCGCAACAAATGAGCGGGTTAAAGAAAAGTTCGCAAGTGTGTTAAATAAAGACACCCGTTTTACCAAATTATGACAAATATGTGATGGTGCAGCCCCAGATCCGTTAAGTGCGTTCAAAGACTATTTTACGTATGCGTGTATTACATCAGTAGATGTCGAACGGTCGTTTTCAAAATATAAGAATATATTTTCACCAAAGCGAACATCACTCATGGAGACAACCATAGAAACATACCTGATGCTGCAAAATGGCTACACATCTTCTCCAGTTTGTGATAAGCAAGCTAGTTCATCAAGTTAGTTAAGAGGGTAAGTTTTACATACATTTTTATAAATTGTAACAATTTATTGTTTCTCGTATTAGTTAATTTCGCGTACGCCACTGTCCCACGGAACATTTTTTACAGCCCTAGTTATGGCTATTAAGTCAAATTCGCCTTATGCAACAGACGGGTAGAATTGCTGGATTTTGCTGTTACGTCCTCTTACGTTTTGGTAAATTTTTGGGTATTTTTGGGCGTTATTAGTTTAAATGATCAGTAATAATTTTTGGAATGCCATTTACGTATTTAATTCCACAATTATTTTCCCTGAATTCTGTGGCTCGATTAATTATTTTTTATGGTTTTATAGTAAAACTGTTGCCTAGGAGTTCGATCAAGTACGATGGATATGTATTTGTATAGGCGATTGGCTTTAAGGTTTCTTGCTTTACTTATTACGTGTTCATGTACCAACGTTATTCTCAGTGGTCTAGATTTTTAATCTAAATATTTGCCTAATCTTATAGGTTTTATGTATTCGATATTAACTTCTGAGTCGTGACAATAGGATTTCCGTAATAATACTGTAGTCTTTTTCAATTTTTGCCTCTTCAGAATGTTCCTGGTTTTATTCATTTACTCCGAAAAATACGAGATTGTTTGTACGTTTGTTCCGCTCAGTAACTTCCTGAACAACTTCCTCAAATTCAGCATTATTCAGTGTGCCTTTTTTGTTGACGCTTTCAGTTTTTAATGACTGAAAAGTTTTCGAGATACTGACACTGATATGCATAGTCGTTCACCGCCGACTCGTCAGCCATCCATCTCTCAGCAATGACTGCGTCTTATGTATTTCATACATAAAACTTCACTGTTGAACGATAGCTGGCGAGTCGCCGGAAAACGACTATGCATATCAGTATGTTTATTAAGCAGCAATCTTCCTTTATTTTTTGTGGTACTACCTGCCCTAGAAATGTTGGTACGTTTTTTGAAACACCCTGTATGTTAAGATTTTGTTACCAGAGAAAAATTGTCGAAGCCGGGCTATTTTGCTACTCTTTTATAAATTATATCAATTTTTAATAGTGCAAAATAAATGTTTAAAATCAAATATGTCCAAATTTTATATCCTAGTCCATTGTTGGACCGGACATGACACGCCAGGTAATAATAGTCCATTCAAGCGATAATATATCAAGTATTTATAATTATTCAATTAAAGAAGACGAGACTTGTCTAGTAAACAGGCTGAGGTGTAATTCATAATTTATGGGTGGCGACTCTCGTGATGACGGTTCATAAAACTGTCGGGATTCAGGACAAGTCTATCCCTTGACCTTGAACACAGAAATATTGTCTTCCTTGACTATGGGTGTCTCCAAATGAGATCACATTAATTCAAGGATGACTTAACACACTTTACATTCACAAAATATGTATTTTATTAAAATTATTTTCCAGGGCTGTATCTGAATAAAGGGCGTTGCAAGATTCACTTCGGCCTGTAGATTCTATGGCGAAAAACAAGATGAATATCAAGAATATTGAATTTTCAAAAAGTGATTTCTCCTAACGGAGCTGTACTTGAGAGAAACGCAGACACTGTTTTATGGGGGTATCTAGATAAACTTTCAATATTAAATGAGGATGATAACAGTCTAATCAGTTTTAAACTCAAATACGCCAGTGGCGTACCGATGCAGTAGTGTCTGATATTTTTAATAATATTCAGTCCAGCCTTTCCGAAAGATTTTTCAAAATTTCCGTATTTTAATTCGTCTTATTTTTAGTCACTGACTTTATCCTTCAGGGTGAGGAGTGAAATTGTAGCAAAAACTATATTATTTTAGAGAAACTTCTTTCATCTAGGAATATCAAATTTAAAATCTTATTTCTGGTCACAGAATCTTCCCCTGTCCAGTAGCGAGTAACTTTTTAACCGAAAACAGTCCAGCCGGGTTTATGCCATTTTGACTCAACTTTAGACAACAAGCTTAAACAGGACAATTTTATTTTCGGGGGGGGGGGGGGGGCAATTAAACACACTATTTTTATTGCCACTACCTCAACCCTCGACCTATAAACGGGGGCGCTATTTCAAATGGCAAGAGGTGTTAGTGACACAATATTTTACTTATTAAATTGAACTACTAGTTTACATGTCAGTTGATTCAATATTCGAAATGCCTTCACCAAATTCCATAAGCCTTTGTTCAAAATGTTTTCAGACATTCTGCAGCATTTCTATTTATCAAAAAATAAAACGAATAATAAACCCCATTCCATAGAAATTAGACAACCCCCGAATCCAAAGTCGAGGCTGCACGGGCGAGGGTTACAGGGGAAGAAAAACGTGTTAATAGCTCCGCAAAGTTGCAGGTCGCAATGAGTGATAGAAAAATATTAAAGCATGGTGGTAGCCGAGTGGGTAAAGCGCTTATAGCTATTTACTCGGTCGATGGTTCGATTCCATCCTGGAGCAAATTAGAAATTTTATTTGTAATTTGTTTCGGACTAAGATAGGACAGGGAATTGTCGATGCCCTAGATGTGGTTCGGACTCCATAATAAACTGTAGGGCCTCGTCTCTCTTTATCCAACACAAAATCTTAGGATTTTCCGAGAGTTGCTTCGGTGACTTGAGAGGCGGTTAATAAAACATTTTTAAGAAGACCAGATTTACAACAACGTATCACGCACGAAACCCGTCAAATTACTCCAGAAAAGCTGCAAAATGTCTGACAAAGGCTTTTTTTGTGTGGAAGTTAGTGGGGGAATTTCGAACATTTAATGAATTGACACGTAAATTAATTTTAAAAACTAAAATACCGTTGTAGAGAATTTAACATGCTTTAAAATGATGGATAACTTGACCCCTCCTGACATTTGAAATGAAAATAGCGAATTTAAGTGACCCCCTTGAAAATAAAATCGACCTGTCCAAGCGTTTTGTTTAAAATTGAGTCAAAATGGCATAAACTTGGGTGGACTGTTTTCGGTGGACCACCCTGTATGTACAAAAGGTGGGTGTAAAATCTGCTGCTGAGAGAATAGGTCGCATATAATTATCATCAACCCATATATTGAAAATGACATTTTCATTAATATTTTAGTCACAGTTATTTATTTATAGTAACAATTAACAACAAGTGGGTTTTTAGTTAGATATTAGCCAAATTGCAACCAATTTCAAAATATATTAAATTTTCTAATATAACTAGAGACAACAGGCCCAATAACCTGAACAAAAATTATTCAAAACCGGAGAGGTCCTGTTTCAATATACATTTTTATTGGTTAATTTGACATGGAATGGCCCCAAAATAAAAAGATTTTTTTTTGATTTTTTGGAGAACTGGTCGAGACCTCCTCCTCCAGCAAGAAATGAAAATCTCAGTTTTGCCACCAAACTGTTTAATTTTTATATATGTGAAAGACACTGGGGATCCTATTAAGAAGATTTAGCATTGTTACCCAGCAAAGTCCAATTATAAATAAATCAGATAAGTAGCAGCAATGACCTCATTAATAGGTAGATATTTATTCGCTTTCCAAAGCAATCGCAATCTTATCTATATCAAAATTTAATTAACGGTTCGAATGATCAGTCGATTTTATTTTTTTTACGCTAGTTATCCAAAAATAAGTCATTCTATGTTTTTTTTAATTAATAATAATTGTGTCTAATATTTAGATTGTAGTTGCTCGCTAAATTATTCAATTAATTTTTAACATCAGCACGGCAGTTATTTTTAGAAATAGTTTTAAGTTTATGTTATACGCCGTTAAAATACAAACAGTTGAAGTAAAGTAAACACGGTTAAAACAAAATCATTTTATTTTAATAAGTATTACCCCGTACCGAAATATTAATGTTTTACGGCACATAATAAATCAAATAAAGACCTACGTCCTCACTAGGTCGAATTTTGATCTTTTGACCTCTAATATTGTTTAAAATTAGTGATGTAATTATATTTAAACATGTTCTTTTATACTGCCCCCCTGTATATACAATGGATGAGTCATAAAAACCGGATTGATTTATTTCATTTCACTTAAAACATATTCAAATTTTATGAACTGCGGATATATGTAATTCTAGCAATATTGAGGTGGACCATCATAAAAGCAGGAATAGAATCTGCAATTAGTTCAATTTCCTGTCATGATTCGGATTGGAATTATTTTCATATTATAAAACGACGAGACACAAAAGCAACATTAGTCCTGGTAGACAGGTGATTTTTCATAAATTAATGAGAGTCCGGCAAAAACCAACATCGTAAATCGTTAAAAACCACTTCCTCTTTTACAGAATTTAGTGGAAAAGCACTATTAAAGCATTTCCAAAATATAATTTAATAATAGGTTTAGTAAATATTAATAACATTTTAATAACACTAATCGAGGTAAAATTAGACAGATTAGTGTAATGTATCCAAAAAGGGACATGCCGACGCAGCTACGGACAAGGCGTTTCAGAATTGCTGTTCCTCTTCAGAAATTTGCATCAGTGAAAGAAGTTAACTCATGGAGCCATATGGTCACTACCATTTTCACCTGATACATGTAAACAAATGTAAAAACGAAAATACATGTCTTTACTTGAATATAATTCTCTCAATAGTTGATTTTTTTCAATTTTTGAATAAATACATTTATTCAACCGAATAATTCTACTATTTATTTCAAATGTTTATTCTAATGTAAGACTGATGAATTTTTAAATTGAAATTATATAGTTTTAAATGAAGAATATGATCTCTACTTAATTACTGATTATGCTCCTTTTAAGTACTTATATACATATATATTATTCCCAAATTTTTAAACATTACATATACTCAAAATAAGAAATCTACTGTTTCAAACCAATGACACAGAGGGTCAGAAAATTCGAAAAGCGGCCAAAAATCGATATTTATAAAAGTAATAGCAGCATCATTAACAGAATTTGCAGGTACTTAGAAAAATAGATAATCCATGTTTTCCCAGAATTCCGAGCAGGTAGAAGGTAATTTCGTTCAGCTACCTGCTCCCAAACAGACTCTTGTAGCGTCTGTACGAATACAATCGTTCGGTCATTATATTGCCAACTCTCAACCAGTAATTCTGTGTTATAAAGCGTTTGAATCAAAAGTTTAACTGTACAGAAAACTTCCTCAAGGTGTGTATTTTCATGTTATATATCTCGTTATATATATATATATACACATATGAGAAAAACTTAAATCAGTCTATACATATAGAAAATATGTAGTTGATTTTGTTAAGGATATTGTTATAATTTAAATTTATGTTGAGCCGTTAAAATTTCCAGGCCAGAACCGGCTTGAACTAAATAACTAAAAGATAGCTTGAACATTCCCTAATAACATACTAAAATATGATAGGCGTGTTCAAGTACCTTTTTAAGATATTTCGATTTCGCATAATTCATAAATATGCACTAACCGTAACAAACACACGCATTCTGAAACCATAACTGCACATTTTATTTTATAATTTAAGATGTAAAATCTACCGATTTCTATTCCATTTTTGCAATATTTTATTTGACTTGACAGAAAATCAAGTTAGTCTATAACTAATGCCGGTTCTGGTCTTTACTTTAGTTTTGTCCTCAGATTTACTTTTATTCTCTTCTGTAGTGGTACCAATTGTTTTTAGAATGAAAATGGTGACCAGAAGCCAACTTTTTGACGTCTTGTATGAAAAGGATGGTTTAGGTCATTCAAATCGAGTATCTATTCAATTATTTGGTGGGACATTATAAAATCTAGAGTGATAAAGACGCCAGGTTAAAAATGAAGAATATCAACTCAAAGTTTTGCAGCGCCGTTTATTCGAAGCTTGATCAATGCGCAAGAAAAACGAATAGATTTTTGGAGAAAAATAAGGAGTGGTTAAGTGTTCAATTTGTATTTGAATAAACCCAAGAAATTGATCCGGATGCTGAGCCACAACCAGGAACCACATCTGAAGGTGAAAGGAGCTGTGCCCGTGGTCGTCCAACTTTAGAATTTTCTGCGAGCAGTGAAAGAACCAAACGTCGAAAGACTGCAACAATGTCATCGACGTTCGAAAGCGAGGAGCTAGCTTCGGCTGTACGCAAAAAACTTAAGAACGAAGGAAAAGAGGCTGCCGCAAAACTTGTATCAGAAGCAATTTTAACCACTCCGACTCAAGCCAGTAAAATGAGGAAGGCTTGGCAAAATATTCAGAAGTCAAAAAAAAATTCCACTTACCCCAGACGATGCTGTCAGTAATGATTGAAGCGAAAGATAGCAAACACTCCTATCTTGTTCATAGACGGATAGCAAAAGAACATTTTGCCGATATCTATCCCTCCTATCACAAGCTCCGGGAAGCAAAATTACGTTGCTATTCCCGAAAAGAGAAAATTGTAACCGAATCGTCTGCAAAAATTTCATTACAAGATCTCTAGGATCATACAGTAAAACGGATACTAGAATTGCAGAAACCGGTTCTTATTTCATTATCAAGTGATCTTCTGATGAATTTGAAATTGTCGATAAAATGGGGAAGTGATGGAAGTACAGGTCACTCACAATACATACAAATTTTCGCCGAGATTGGTCTTGGTGATGGCGACTTGTTTCTAACGTCCATAGTACCATTACAACTGTATGCGGAGCAACATGGGAAAGATAAAATGATTGTAAGGCAAAATCCCCGCCCATCGTCAACTCGATTTTGTAGACCTGTACGCTTCCAATTCATGAAAGAAACAAAAGAACTGACGGTTCAGGAGACAAATTACATAGAAATTCAAATTTCGGAACTTCGACCGACTGCTGATATGTTAGGTAATGAAAAAATTGCAGTTTCTCATGTTTGTGTGATGACGATGATAAACGGTAAAGTGTGTAATGCAATTACGGAAACAGCTTCTTCACAAACATGCTATATATGTAAAGCAACTCCCAAAGATATGAATGCCATCGAAAAAGTATTAAAAAGAACAATTGTCCAGGAAAATCTAAAATTTGGATTGTCAAGTCCACATGACTGGATCAGGTTTTTTGAATGTTTGCTGCACATTTCGTACAGATTAGAACTTAAAGTTTGGTAAATTCGAGGAACCGAAAATAAAGCAGTTTTCGAAAACAAGAAACGTACCATATAGCAGAACTTCATAGATGGAATAGTATTGCTCGTGGATATACCTAAACGTGGAGGTAGCGAAACCACTAATGACGGCAACACGGCTCGACGAGTTTTTGCTAACCCCTAACTTTCCAGTAAAATTACGAGCATAGATGAAGAAGTTATTACGCGATTTGGTGTGATATTACGCACCTTATCTTGTGGTTATGCAATCGATGTGAGAGTGTTTGAGGAATATGCTTTGGAAATCGCAAAATTATATGTCGCTAAATATCCGTGGTATTATATGCCCGCTAGCGTACATAAAATATTACTTCATTGAGCCATAATAATCAAAGAAGCTATTCTA